TTGGTGTTGTCCTCATGCAGCCGGTCGTCGCCACGCAAGCAAGTCTTTGGAATTTGTCCAGCTTGTCGGTTGCGGTCGTCAGCTGGGTTCGTGGCCACCATACTGTAGCGCCGTAACTGATCATGGGTCTTATCACCGCTGTGTAGAGCCATAGTGTTATCTTGGGTGAAAGTCCCCATTGTTTACCCACCATTCTATGGCACTGCCAGAAGGTGATAGTGGCTTTTTGAATTTTGTTGTTCAGATGCTTGTTCCAGTTCAACTTGTTGTCTAGTATTACCCCCAGGTACTTGACTTCGGTTGATAATTTTAGTTCTGTACTGAAGAGTTTGGGTAGTAGGTAGTTACCCAGTAGTCTTTTGTTTGTAAACATTACTAGTTCCGTCTTTGTCGGGTTTACCGATAGTTCGTATGCCCTGCACCATCTTTCCACAATCCGGAGTGCAGCTTGTGTTATGTCGCAGAGAGTATTGGCATAATTTCCTGTTACCAGTATAGCTATGTCATCAGCATATCCTACTGTATAGAAATGTTCTTTGTTTAGTTTGATGATGAGGTCATTTACGACCATGTTCCACAGCAGCGGCGACAGTACCCCCCCTTGAGGGCACCCCTTCGCTACTATGGCCCATGAGGTCTCATTTGCTGTTGTTTTTATTGTTCTTTGTTTTAGCATGTTGCTAATCCAGCTGATCAGCACTTCATCCACTTCGTGTCTTCTCCGTGCTGATTGTATGCTGGAAAAGTTGGTTTTATCGAAGGCTCCCTCAATATCTATGAAGGTGCCTAGGCAGATTGCTTTGTTTTTTAGGGCCTCTTCTATCTTGCCAACAACGGCATGTAGGGCCGATTCAGTGGATTTGCCTTGGCTGTATGCATGTTGGTTTCCGTGTAATGGTATGTTCTTAAGCGCACCATCCCTCAGTTCTCTGTCACATAGCCTTTCCAATGTTTTCAGGAAGAACGATGTGAGGCTGATTGGTCTGAAGGACTTCGCGTCAGTGTAGTCGTTTTTTCCTGGTTTCGGTATAAAAATGACTTTTACCTCTCGCCAGCTGTGGGGCACATAGCTGAATGCTAGACAGGCCCGAAAGATGTCGACCAGGTGCTGGACCAGTGTGTCCCCGCCCCATTGTAGGAGTGCGGGAAATACTCCATCTTGGCCCGGAGCTTTGTACGGTTCAAAGGTGTTTACTGCCCATTTTGTCTTTTCGTATGTTACTACTTGTTCAGCGTACCGCCAGTTATGGATCGATGTTTTATGGTTCATTTCTTCGCACCTGTCATCTTGGACGAACCTGCATCCTGGGAAATAATAATAATAATAATAATAATCTTTATTTTCTCCACAAAGTTGTTCAAAAAGTGCACATACATTATGTTATAGGCAAACAATCTTTGCAGAGACTGGTGCCCGAACTAGGTTGATCCTGTATTTCGGGTCGCCAGGCCTCTACCTCCGTAAATAATAATAATAATTACAATAACAGTATATGTATACACATATATGTATACAGTATATGTATGCAAAGAACTAGAAGTTGGTCAGACAATAATAATAAAGACTACTTAAACAATTAGTTATGCTAAATTATGCAATAGGAACAAAAATAAAGTGTATGTGTGTGTGTGCGTGTGAGTATGTGTATGTGTGTGTGTGTGTATGTGTGTGTGAGTATCCACGTTTAACTAAGCTATTACTTCAATAAGTTTTTCTGTTTCAGTGTAGTTTAGTCCTAGGAGCCATTTTGTCACAGCTTTCTTGCATTCGTATTTATTTAGCGGATATATTTTCAGATTTAAATTTGCTTTATTATATAAGTACGATCCTAAGAAGGTAAAAAACCGGTTAATGAAGGCAGTATGAAACGACTTTTTAGGGCACACTATATCATATCGTCTCCTACTACAGGTTAGGTTCGCATCATAAACGATTAATGAATGCTTTTTTAATATTATATGTAATATAAATAATTGGCGTATGGATAATACTTGCCATGATTTGTACAGGTCCGCTGTAGGGTGGAGTGTAGGCTTAAAAGTAGCTACCTTGAGAATACAGCGTTGTGCTCGCTCAATCTTGATTAGATGCGATTTTGCAGCACCACCCCAAGAAGTTACACAATATATAAATAAGCATTGACAGAGTGCATAATACACCATCTTAATGATGTCAAAGTCTGCTATATTTCTAAGGGTTTTGAAAATGTATATTAACTTCCTAGTGCGCGCCGCAAGATCTGAGATGTGAGAAATGAAGTTTAAGTTTTGATCAAGAGTGATACCTAAATATTTAGTAAATGGAACTCTTTCAAGGCAGGGACAAGAACAAGCAATAACGTGTGGACTTGGACAATGATGAGGTTTTAGATTGAGGTTGCCGTGAGGAGCATTTGCGTTACGAATTGAGAACGATATATACTTAGTTTTATTGGCATTAATTGTGAGGAAATTAGAATTGAGCCATTCCACAGCTGCATTTAATCCATTTTGGGCCAATCCAAACGTTTCTTCCCAAGTTTTAGCACAAAAAATGAGAGCTGTGTCGTCGGCAAAAGATAACGTTTTACCATTTGGCAGATTAATACGACAGAGATCATCTATAAAGACCAGAAATAGGGTTGGACCAAGTATACTTCCTTGAGGAATTCCATGGACAATGCTTGCTTCAGAACTCGAGTAATCATCTATTTTTGTGCATTGTGTTCTATTAGTCAGGTAAGACTCAAAAAGTTTTAATTGTACATCTCTTACCCCAAAACGCTGAAGTTTAGATAACAAGGTAGATATAGAGACCGTATCGAATGCCTTCGCGAGATCTAGAAATATCGATAGACATTTCATACCCCTATCCAGATTCTCGGCCACATAATTTGTGAGATCATGGACAGCATCTCCAGTAGACTTACCAGCACGAAACCCGTACTGTTGGTTAGAGAGTAGTTTATTATTTTCCAAGAAATTAATAAGTCTACTGTTCATCATGCGTTCAAGAATCTTAGACAGGGAAGGCAGGATGGAAATTGGACGATAATTATTCACACAGTCTCTACTACCAGACTTAAACACAGGCCGAATCAGGGATTTCTTAAAAACGTCCGGAAAAATTCCAGTATTTATACTAAGGCGACAGATATGTGTGATGGCCGGAATAAGGATATGCTTGAAGCTCTTAATAAACTTGGATGAAATACCATCCCAGCCAACTGCACAGTCGTTTCTTAAGCCCATTATCAGTCTTTCGACTTCCTCTTCGTCAGGGTCCAGTAAAACAAACGAATTAATGTTACTTGAGCAATTAGAAAGGAGAAGGTCGCTACTCAAATTATGGTTTTTTAGGCGAATGTTCTCGGCTAAATCTTTACCAATATTGGCAAAGTAAAAATTTACTTCGTTTACCGCTTCTTCTGGAGAATTAGCCTGGGTAAGAAGGGGTTTGGCTGAGGCAACGGATTTGTTGCTGTAGGTTTGCTCTTTTATTATTTTCCATAGCTTTTTATTATTATGACCTGCTTTTTTAATTTCACATTTTTGAAAGTCCTTTTTCAAACGTTTTAATATATTAGTACAGTAGTTTCTGTATCTACGGTACGTTGTTTTTAGTATAGTATTATCAGGTGTCAACTTCAGTTTTTTATGCATATTATCCCGGTTTCTTATGCAGCGCAAGAGTCCAACGGTTATCCAAGGCTTGATAGTTCTATTTCGTCGGGATAACCTGAGAATACGAGTATTATATACTAAAGCATGTGAGAGGAGATTTACCAAAACATTCGCGGCTATGTTAGGGTCATTGGCTTCCAAAACATATTTAAAATCCATGTTCGCCATTTCATTTTCCAATGCAATCTCGTCTATTTTAGAAATTTGATGAGTAGCATGAACAGGTTGTTTTATATCAATACATAGTACGATGGCGTCATGATCAGTTATTGCTGAGTGAACAACGACAGTCTCAATACGTTTCTTTGTTTTAACAATGGCATGATCCAAACAAGCGTTATACCTTGTTGGCAACGAGTGTGTTGGAAGCATCCCATGGCATGCCAGTAAATTAAGATATTCCTCTGCGTGATCGTTGACGTTTTTTGGTGAAATATCTATATTTATATCACCGGTGATAATGACAGTATTAAATGATGACAACGCCATCAGTACCAAATCTAAGGAGTGTAAAAATCTTTGGACGTTGTGTTTGAAACAATGCGGCCTATAAATTGCCACAATGGCAGTATGTGAGGAAATTTTTATCACCAAGCAATTTGCTTCATCCAAAGTTGGCTCCTCAATTGTACATTTAACTGAATTTTTCACATATACTATCACACCATCATTTTGATTGTAGTTATCTGTAGTGCAGTGCGAGTGATAATCATCCAAAAGAGGCATATAATTTCTTTGAGACAGCCAACACTCAGTCAGTATTATGAACTGGAAATCTAATTTTATACGAGTGAGGAGCGTAGTTAGACCATCAAAGTTGCGATGGACGCTCCGGATGTTTTGACACAAAATATTGGTGTGTCCAAGGGGATGATTCAATGGGGACGTCACCTCTTCTGCTGTACAGATTCTAGCTACGGGATAAGAGAAACTATCCAAGTTATATAATAATTCATTTATATCTGCGAATTTTATTTATTTATATTTAATATGGGTGGAACAGTACTGACTCGAATGTAATACTCATTTAATATACATGACGAATGCATAGTGTGGAATGTTCGTTTAAAAAAGTCCCATACCATAATATCTACATGGCTTTTGGTGGATTTTGGCGTGATATTTATTGGAGTAATATGTAGCGATTGTATTCGGTTTGTGTACAGTAAAATTAGTTTTTTATATTGCGATGTGTGTAGGTAATGTATTGCATGTGTAATGAATGGCAGTATAAAAATATATTGTGTTGTGTTTTTATTGAATGGTGTGTGATAAGTGAATATATATTTTATGTTTATACAATTTAGGATGACTGTTAATCTTACAAACGAAAATAGTCACAATTTTTTTTTCAGCACGTTGATATCTTCTTCGCTTCTAATAAGGATTGCTATGTCACCCTCAGCCTTACGTAGATAAACGTTTCCTCCAGCTGTCCAACAGTATTTGAAACCACCTGATTGAGCCATATCTTTAGCAAGAAAATGTAAGCGTCGAGCTTTAGGTGTTAGTCGCTCAGAGATATAGATACGCGTGTCCTTACTTTCGAATCCAAGGTGGTTTGAATGAAGTTGTCCGCTTTTGTTGAATGACTTTGCAGCCTCAAGTACTTTGCTCTTGGTCAAGGTGTTACCGAGTTCAACTATCAACGATGAGCATTTCTGGTCTTTTTTGTTAGGTACACGAAATATGTCGCGAATCTCTTGCGTCTGGATATTAATTTTCAGGGTATCGGTGAGTCTTCCAAAGTAGCCATAAAGGTCAGTATTTTTCTCACCTCTAATTTTGGGGACATTTCTAATTTCTATTGAGGTCTTATAAAGATTTTTATGTAACATATCACATTTATCATTGATGACGTTAATCCTGGATGATAATTCTTTTCGCTCCTCTTCCATCATAATTATTTTATTTTGTACAAATTCAATTCTGGCAGATACATCAGAGACGGATTTCTCGATCTCAGTGTTCAAAGTCTTAATAGAATTATTCTGGTCTTTAATGTGTGATATATGGTTTTCTATTTCCCCCAAACGATGGTTCTGGTTTGCTTCAAATTTTTGAAACATTTTCATCATTTCATCGCGAAAAAGAAGTAAGACATCAGTCTGATCCATGTCTTCCGACTCCGACATACGACGCCTTTTTTTATCTCTTTGGGTAGTACCGCTGGACCCCGATGCCAATTCAGGATTAGAAGCTGACATCGATTCGTTACTCTGAGGTGATCGCAAGACGTTCGGCATCTTTGTTTTTGACGCGAGAGTAGTAGGCAAGCAGCAATAACGAGGAGTTACTATAGCGAGGGCTGAATGAGGGAATAAGACGTAGTTTTGGAGTGTCGCAGTTATAGTCGATTCTTTCGCACTAGTAAAAGACTTTAAGGCGATAGTGTCATATGGGTCTCGTTCTTTTGATATCGATCGGCAACTGCATACAAATTTGCTTTCCGTCTAATATAACTTGAGCCTTCTGGTGTATTATTATGAGAGTAGGTAGGTGGAATTAAAATTTGCATTAGACAACAGCGATGTCCACGCATCCGAGTGCGAGAGGTGATTATTAGTTAATTCGCTTCCACTAATGTAGTGATCCACAGCGTTTTTCCATATGGGTCATGCTAATTGGGCACCGATCGATGAATTCATACAGAATTTCTTTCCGTCAAATATAACTTGACCCTTCTGACGCAGGTAAGTAAATTCAAATAACTCACATGCTTGCAGTGGCGGTGTGTGTGTCTGCTCGCACAAAACAATCGTTAGCGATAAACTCCTTAATACTATTGTGCTCCTAATATTCACAACTAATTTTTGCTTACTAAAATTGTATTTTATAATTTTAATAAATTTTAAAAGGGATTATTAACCAATGCGTCTGAACAACTCAGAGGTCCGGAGGGGAGGGGAAATGTGTTTCCAGTAGGGTTCTCTCCGTTTCCGCAGGGGAAGTTGTGTATGTGTTATCTATTTTGCGTATTGAACCTAGCTCAGTTGAATTTGAGTTGCCTAGGATTTTCCTTATTCTGTTCGCTTGTGCACAAGACGTAATGTTCCCGCAGTAGCCTCGCCATGACGCGGTGCTCCTGAACCGTATGCGCTTTTTGAATTTGGATTTGGCCGTCTTGTAGTTTTCCCAGTCCTCATCCGCGCATGTGTTCATTGCTCTATTGAAACATCTCCTTACCCTTCTTCGAAGCCTCTCAAGCTCAGGCCCCCACCAGTGTTGGCCTTGTCGCGGGGCTGAGTCACTCAGTGGGCATGCGGAGTTATAGCTGTTCACTATGTTTGATGTTAGTTCTTTTACCTGTGTTTCTATCTGTGCTGTGTTCAGTAGTCTGCCAGGTTCCCCCAGACTCTGGTGTAGTTTGTCAGTGTATAGTTTACGATCAGTTTTTCGGGGATTTCGTTTCGGTTGTTGTTCTTTGATGGCTGTGTCTAAGCTAAATCTTATCCATCTGTGGTCCGAGAAGGATGCTTCTTCGGACACGTGCCAGTTTTGGACAAGATTTACTGCTCCTTCTGATGCTAGGGTTAGGTCTATAATTGTCCTGCATCTTTTATTTACGAAGGTTGGTACAGTACCTTTATTAAGGATTTGAAGGTTAGTTGTGAATAAGTATTCTGTTAGGTTCTTACCTCTGTCATTTGCGAGTTCCATGCCCCACAGTGGATGGTGGGCATTGGAGTCAGTAGCCACGACGATGTGCTGGCCGTTCTGCTCGCAGTACTTGATTAGCCGTTCCATTTCCTGTGGCGGTGGTACATCAGTCTCCGCCATATAGACAGAGGCGAGCACCACTTCAGGTAGGCCTGTGGCCGTGTCAGCTAAAAGCTTGACGGCACACAGGTCTCTGGAACAGAATTCTGTTAGTGGCTGTACATGTAAGTTATTAGAGTAATAGATGCAAGTTCGTGGTTTATCTGAGTTATTGGTGGATAAAAGCTTACCTCTCAGATGTGAGAGTCCATTTATTTGGCCGCGGGCACTGATCCACGGTTCCTGGATCAGCGCCACGGCTGTGTTGTTAACCTCCAACCACTTCCGGAGCTGAACCGTTGCGGCCTGGCTGTGGTGGAGGTTGTTCTGGACGACTTGCAGTTTATTGAGCGAGGGGGATACCGCCATCACCAGACAGCAGCTCCACGTCCTCGTCCTCGCTCAATCGGATGTCTCCCATCCCCAACACACACTCGTCGTCGCTAATGGACACCGCCGGGCATTCGTCGGTGTCCACAGGGTCGGGGGTCGGGGAGGGCCCTTTTCCTTCCCTGGTGATACCAGAGGAGGTGGAGGGCTCCGGGGAAACATCCATTTGTCCTGTGTCCTGTATTGTAGACGCTATATTCTCTGGAGGCGCGTCAGTGTAGAGGCCCCTTTTCGTTCTAAATCTCAGGTAGACCGTGCCTAACTGGAATGTGAAGCGCCGGCCATGCCCCAGGACAGTGGGGACCAGATCTTCGGGGAGGCTCACCACCACGAAGGTATGCCCACTTTGCTGATTCAGCTTGTGGACAAGCCAGCGGTGAGCCTCCGCCCACTTGTTTTGCCACTTGAGGATGCGACCGATTCGGCGCGCATCCTCCCATTTGCCAGGGAGTAGAAGTCCGCAGACCACCCTCCGGGGAGCCTCCACCCCATTTTTCAACGAGAGGGGCTCCCCGGAAGGCAGCCTGATGGTGCTGACGGCGTCCTCCAGCCACTGGAAAGTGGCCTTATCGTGACACCACAGTTTCAAGGCCCCATCGCCGTAGACGGGTTTTCCTCGAAACTGTGGGCCGACGTCATCCTCGCCGCATTCCTCGGCTCCTTGAGTGAGAAGCTCACATAGGGCCTCCTGTATGGTGTCAGCATCGGGGCTCCGTATGAAACCTGTTTTAGCCGAGGTAATAACCGCCATGAGTTAGTTGCCTCGGCGTATGATTTGTTCTGGGCGGGCCTCTCAACTTTCTGCCGCTTGTGCTCGCCTCTAGGAGAGATCGTCTCATCGAGGCGTGCCCGTTTGGCATTGGTCGAGGACCTCTGCGCCTTGTCCGCCGGTTTGCTCTTAGAAAGGAGGGGGGCCCTTCCAGGGGGTTGCGAGTCCGGTCTAGGGAGCCGCTTTGATGCGGTCCCAGAACCATCGTCGCCAGCCACTGGGGGCCTCGCCTCTCCCTCCTTCTGCTGGGTGTTGCTCGCGTTTTGAAGTCGCTCGCGCTCTCGGAGCCGACTCCGTTTGTTCTTTCGGGCAGGGCGTCCCCTGCTCCCACTGGGAGCTGGAGGTGGTCGCTTGCCCTGGCCACTTTCCCCTTCCATGCGGATGGGTGCCGTGGTTTTGGGCTTGCGACTCACCAGAGTCCACCCTGCCTCAAGGGCTGTGTGCGTTGGGTTCTGCGATGCAGAGCCAGGTGTCTGAGCGGGGACCACGGAGCACGAGGCTCGGGCCACTACCGCTGGTGTTGGGCCAGCACCGGCATCGGTACGCGGTTGGCCTTGGGGTTTCCCCTTTGGCCTACCACTCACCGTAGGGCGCTGGTCTGTGTTTGATTTTGTGCTTGATGGGGCACTTTTGGGTTTCCCCTCCAGTACCACCATCTTGAACCCTTAAATTAATTTGTAAATTTGTGAAGACGGCTGTCAAGAACAGCTACTTTATTTTTAATTTTCGTATTAATATTATTTCTATAACTATTTTTCATTAAAACTTACGTTAAACTTCTCTCTCATATATGGTACCAGATTGCTAGCACATGGGACGTGTTTCAGAGTGACGGCGCAGTGGCTGAGCCTGTCAGATCTATGTGATTTGAAGTTCTGAGTAGCACTACAACTGCGATTGGACAGTTCCGAGTCTTTCTACATAAGTTTTGTTTATAGTGACCCTTCTAATCAACTTCTTGGTTATACGGGAAACCACTATAACCAGTGCAAGCATAGGGATCTTATAAGTTCATGTTCTGACCCTAGATCAGCCCATGATCAGCCCAACTTCATACGGTTCCCAAAAGGCCAGTGCCTCGAGTAACAGCAGTGCTATGGACAGCCAATCTTTCTACATTGCTTTTGATTATAGTGACCTTCCCTACGGACCTTTAGTGTATACAAAAAGGTCACTATAACCTGTGCGTGCACAGAAAACTTCTATGTTCAGGTTCTGACCCCAGATCAGCCAGTGTAACTGGGTTGTCACAGACCATTTGAATGAAGTCATCCGGTGGGCCGCGCAGGGTGCACGTACGGTACCCTCCCTATTTTCCAAATAGGTACCGGAGCTGTAGGCACACTCACTTCCCGTTGCGCATTGCGCAACTAACGGTTGCTAAGCCATTGACTCTAAAGTCCACTATCAAATCTCCTTTTTGATGGCGGAGCTGTGAGACACGCTCACATCCCGACGCCGCCCGGTGCCGATGCGTCTCTCTAGTTCCTACAAATAACTGCTATGGACAGGCATGTCGCTTGCTACTAGCCTGTTCTTCCCGTCACTTGGTGTTAAAAAAGAAAGTATCATCTACTTTTGTCCCGCCTTCTGAGAGTCTTCCTCCTGGACACAAATTGCCATGGCCGATCTGGAAGTCTTTATAGGCTTCGGATCCAAGTTGGTCGGAGTAAAACAATTTGTTCAGGTGGGGATATTCGGATGGTTTTAAATTGGATTGTTTAAACGATGACCCACCTCATATCATACCCTGAGAGAGCTAACACCTTCACGCTTCAGTATTTGATGACGGCTACTAGCGACGCGGTCGTCGTGGCTGAGTTATGGGCCACAAAAGTATAGGGTACGCCATCATATGTAGGTCACATTATCTGTCAATATCAGGTGAATTCTGTGGCCAGGCGTGTATCTATTATATATATATATATAACCATAGTACCTCTAATTCGACTTCCGATATCTTTTGATATGTCCTGTGACGTGGGCTATAATTGATTGATGTGGTAAATATAAGGGTGCATTGGATGGCCCATTAAGATATTTGCTTTGTCATACTAGATTCGATGTTTTCGCCCCTCGATCGTGTATCGACTGTTTATGTTGCACTGCTAAACGTGGGTATCTTTTAGTAGCCAAAATCAAATACATCCTGCACTTATTATTGATAGAAATATTTATTACAAATCGGCCGCCCGCCCCCTTTTACATTTGGACATCCAGACGTATGGCGGGTTGTCTTCCCTGCTTGGTCGATATTCCCGCCAGGCATACCATTACTTTTTGATGGGACGATCAAGTCGTGCCCCTTTCGTGGTAAGCTACACGCCT